GTTTGGCGATTCAAGCCCTTGGTTATAAACTTAATCTGTAATCCAGAACTGTTTAAACAATCCCTTTTTGGCATCTCTTTTCAAAAAAAGGTCTTGTTCAAAATAATGTTGCCCAACCTTCGGCTCGGCGAGTGAGAACGTGTTCCAGCAGGTTCCATGTGCTCCTTTTAGGTCCCTTCGCATCTAGCTAGGAAGTTTCTCGTGTTGTAGACGTTTTGGTTGGCCTCCTGTAGTTCAACTGGACTTCTCGTGTTCTGCGAGTGGATCACCATTTTGGCCAGTGACCCTGGGAGCTGCAAAGTCGCAACAAGCGTTTTGGGGTGCATGAAATGTCGTCGACCGGAACCCATCGAAAGGGTTCCCAAGCTACAAATCTCAATCCCAACAGCTCGCAAACCAAGGACCCGCTGAAGCCCAATGAAACCAATTCGCCCCACAAACGAGAACCAGCATGCTCTTGGGCAGGGTTTGCCACCTGAAGGCAACCGACAGGAGGTGGAAACCAACAGTCTAAACAAGGCAGGGGGTTGGCTTCTCCCGGATCTTTAACCTAATGGTCGTTTGCAACCATGTGGGCTTGTCTCAAAATTGGGGGGGTCGCAAAATTGGTGGTTTTCCTTTTGTTCCTTTTCAATTTTCTAAAGCCACCCCCAAACGGCGACAACAAAAAAAGCACACACCACACCCATGTGTTTTGTCCACGGGTTCGAAGCCAGGGCCACATCCCCACAAGTTGGTCCGTCGGAGCCTGGCAAAGCGCCACAGGCACCTCGGCGCGGATTTGACGCTAGGTGCGGCTGGCTGTCAATTCTCATGGCTGTCAGGCCCCCCCCAAAGATGCTGGCTTGGTTTGTCTAGCTTTTGGGCCGCCTTGTAGGCAGTTTGCCAGCGTGCACTGGACAATGCTTCTTCTCTGCACCAACCGCCATAAATGCAAGCTGTATGTTGTCAAGGGGCAGGGACCTGAAATGGGAACCCTACTAGCGCCTAATAGGCCTTATAATGGTCGATAGCCCCTATTGGGATTGGGGGCGGCCCTTGACAACCATAGGATCGAGCAATGGCAATCCAAAGGTGGTATTTCTCTGGCCTGTTCTCAGAAGTGGGTTAAATGGACACTACCACTAAATCAACTAAAAAGCTAAATAGCTAAGGGGATGGCTGGGAGCCACCAAGGTATACCACCCAAGAGAACATAGGACCTCAGGGAAAACATTGGGAACTAACCCCAGCTACCCCAGCAACAGCCATGGTTACATAAAAGTTGTAACCTACTTACTAAGTGGGCTGACTACTCAAGACGGCCATAGAAACCTACAACTCGTTGTTACTCTCTACTAAAAGGCTCATGGCCTCCCTAGTCACCCCCAGACACTAGGCACAAATAAAAACCCGGAAGTTTAAAATAGGCCAAGTGGTATTTTATGCTACCTCCGGACCGGCCCGGCCAGTGCTGAAACACGGGGGAACAAAACTTGAGGTTTCCTACCCATTTAATCAAGCGGAGAAATCAAGTAGGAAGAATACTTCTGATACCTCAGCCTCTCCGCTCTCCACGTATGCTTTGTAGGCACGGTGCGAAAGGAATGCCCGGTAAAGCTGTGCGCAACTTGCTGACAGCTGAGCCTCCCTCTTTGTCCAATTGGAAGGGCTCATGACCATGGCACAAGGCACCATCCCAAAGCATCGAAGGTCTTCCCACCATAACGCACGTGGACCATAAAACCTCCGTCGAAGCCATCGGCTGGTCGCCAGGTTGCATCCAAGGCGCCACATTGCACAACCAGGCGTTGCCAACTGTAAAGGCGATGGCCTCACTCCTGCCATAAGCATATGAGTCTTTCCCAGATTTTTAGCTTTTTTTTAAAAAACCAAACTGGATAGCCAGTTGGTGTAGCGGGCCTAATGGCATGGGAGACCTGGCCAAGTCTGGGCTGTTCCTAGATCCCCTGCGGGTTTAATTGGAAACTACCACTAAACCCGAAAAAGCTAAAAACCTAAGGGGATGGCTGGGAACCACCAAGAATTAGGAGACCTTGAATTGAATTGGATGGTTTCCTTTTCCCAGCTGAAACCAATGCGTCACCATGTTTCGCAAATCCAACCTTGAACAAAACGGGAAAACGTGCCACTAGAAACAGGCGCTGTCCATCCAACAATGCACTAGCACACTTCCTGACAAAGTCCCACTCGGGGGACTGATGAACTGAAGGTATTGATCACTTGCGTGTGGGTACCCTTTGGGTTGGTTCAAAGGGAAACCAAAAGGACAACCACCATTTGGGGGGGGCCCCCAGCAAAAGACACACCCACTTGGTAGGTTCACTCAAAAATGTCAACATGCTACCATGGAGCCCCCGCTTCGAAAACAAGGGCATCATATTCAAACGAACATCCTTTTGAACGACCCAATCCAGGAAAATGCGGGCGTGTACTTGCGTGAAGGTACAGTACCTTTTGGTTAGGCTGGCAGAACAGTAAACTATGAGGACAATGGAAAACTAGGACTTTTTTGGGGGGGAGGTTCTCTATTTTGACGCACGCCCCCAAATGGTTCGTGGGCCCAATGGTTGCAATCGATCGCTTCCGCTTGCCTCAAATGAGTGAACCCTGCAGCCACGCTGAGGTGCGCCGTAACCGCCGAGGCCATGGTACCTGGAGTTCTCGTAGATACGTATACATACATATATATATATATATACACCCTCCATACACATATACAATCAGATACATTCATATACATTCATAACTGCATGTGGGGGAGCCTTTTTGGGGGACCTCAAAGGGGATTGTGTTCCTTTTGGTTTCCCTTCAAAACCCGGGGAAAAAGAAAGAAATAACAAAACAGTCGGTACGCGGTAGGGTCCTCTGAAAAAAATCAAACACAGCCTACAAGCTTGGTCGACATTCAAGCACGAACCCTGACCTGCTGAGTTTACTGGTCGGGGGAAAAAACAACTTGTTGGGTCTTGACTTATCTGATAAAACAACCTCTATGAAAGGACAAGTTTTTAAAGGTTGTCAACTCTGCAAGCAAGAACCTCTGCAGGGAAAACATTGACTCATTGGCGTCTGCGGTCAACCCTCCTACGAGTCCATTGATTCAGAGCAATAAGAGCCATGGGAGCTGCAACGGCTCCCCTTGATTCAGCTTTCAATCAGTATAGGAATTGAGGTATAAACAATTAATTAGAATGGAGTTGTGGGGTGCTACGAAGCCAACTGTAGACTATAGCCATGTCCATAGGAGAATGTGTGTACCTTGGCCGCTTATACTACAGGGTTGCTACTGGTCTATGGGTCCAACCACGCCCATGGACAAGCCCTGCTGCCCAGGTACATGCCCCTGATGTACCCTTTCCAGAATGGGAACCCTGTTGATGAATGAGCCCCTGTTCATTGGAATCCTTCATTGGGATTCCTGTTCCCCCTTCAAATCACCCATGTATGATTCCGACTATAGGATACATAAGGAGTAATGTATAATGCTTGGCTCACTTGCTGAGTCGAGTAAGGAATGCAAAGAAAGAAACCAAACACATGGTTCCTTGAATATAATATGCCGCTACTACAAACATCCCCCACTAAGAGGGGCTCGAATTGAATTTGGCAGCCTGCAGGTGTTTGTACCACCCACTAAGGGACATGCCAAGAACGAAAATAAGACGAGGAGTCTCAAAGTAGAGGCGTAACCCTAAGCAAACGAGCGGGATGCTCCACACATTTAAAGGGCCTACACATTCAGGGACCTGGCACTCATTCACCTGTGCGCGACCATTTCGTGCACACTTCTGCTGCGGCCAACTAGCAGCACCAGCTTCCACGTTGAAGAGTCCTCCTTTCAGCTCCTTTTTCTTCCAACCGCAGCAAGCCTGCGACCATCCAAAGCAAAACATCGGCGCCCGAAAGGCCCAAGAAACGCGCCGCCTTTGGCGGGGCGAGGTGGGCATAAGCCCCCTGCTCGGGGCTATCTCTGACAACCAGCGGGTTGAACGCTGATACAACGAGCTGTCCACGCAAGACTCTACAAACAGGCAAAATGCAAAAAAAATGAGCTGCCCTTCCGGAAAAGTTGAAAAGGGAGCCAGCCATTTCGAAAACAGAACTATGGGAATTGTGATTCGACATATGCCCTAGTTCGGGTTGGTCATGTTGAGTGGTGAACCACTTAGCTTGCAACAGGTCACCACTAAACGCCGGGACTCGACAAACGTGACTATGTTTGAAAGCAGCCCCTAAGGCCGGATCCCCATCCCCAGATCCCAACCGCGATGTTGCCACTTAAGGCGTCCTCTGCGCTTGTCAGAAACTTGGCTTTCATGAGATCATGAAACCGTTCTAGCTTTTGAGAGATCCCCTTGATATCTGGCTGTGGGTCAAAAAATCGGTACCCAGAATGGAACCCGGTAAATGGAAACATGGACTAAACCCTGCGGTCCCCTGGTGCACTAATTTTGACCCATACCCATCTCAGAACTTGGCAACCTCAAACCCACAAACTCCACCGCCCATAATGTCCACCTACGATTAGTAAACTACCCCTGAATAAAGCTAAACGTTTTCCCAAACCAAATAATAAACTACCCCTAAACAAAGCTAAAGTCCCCCCCCCCCAAAAAAAAAATTGCAACATGCCCAATACTGCTTTAGAATTGGCCCAATTCTAAAGTAGCATTCGAACACCAAAAAACAGAGCCCAATACTAAACACATTCTAAAACTTGTCCCGACCCTGATTTTTCCCCCCTTAACTTTATTTTGGGGCATTCAGGGGGGGGGGCTATTTATTAATCAGAGGTGGACATGATGCTTACGTGGCCCAGTTCGATCCTCAAGCCTTCAAGTCGCCGAAAGTTTCGAAAACCACTGGTTGATTCGTAGGAGTGATACTGTGGATGGACGAAATTTTGCACCATCTAAGAAACCCTGCAATTATGGTGCCCCCGTAAATACCAACCCACAATGGTTTCCTATGGTTTGAAAGTGGTGTAGGATTTCGTCCATCCACAGTGAGGGGGTCCGCTGAAACGATATTCCCTCAACACCAATGGCGTTCGCTCCCGCCACGCGGTTACAACGTGCCAAGTGGCGTACACATCCAAGTAGCGGAGCAAAGGGCAATCCCTAGGTGCCGCGGGTTGCTCCCTGTCGCTCTCCCGCCCAACCCGCGCGCCCCGAACGCCACGGGCGAAAGCCCGCTTCATCCCGGAGGGGGCAACTGCCTGAGCGAGCCAGTCAGAGCTAAACTCCGCGGATCCCGGCCGTCTTTGCCACATATCTCTCAAAACGTCAACTGGGTGTCTTGCAAAATGTCACAGCATTCAGTTGGGACGGTTTGCTGAACTTGCTGGCAACACAGGTTTCGGGAGTAAACCTGTGGCTTCCCTGAAGCACAACCTTCCCTCACTCCCTACGAAGAACCAGCAAGTCAAGGTGGTGCAACGTAGGCATCATTGCGTGCATTCACTCACTCAAAAAATGGGCCAAGCACCCATCTCCCCGGTCCCAAGCGGTGTTCAAAGGACGGTGCGAACCCCCGTCGGAATGTCATTCGTACGCTTTTAAACGCGCCATTTTGAGTGTCCATGCATGCATATGGCTGCGGCTCAAAAAACCGGCACTACAATTGGAACCCTGGTAAGTGGAAACATGTACCAAAACCTGCGGTTTAGCCCCTCCTGTTTAATTTTGAGCCACTCCCATATTAGTGGGCACGGTAATCCGCATACGTCTGAGAAGCCGGCCAAGGCCCTTAGGAGGCCAACAGCTTTGCAAAGCTGCCTCAGCCGGCACCCAGGGCTTGCATAGAACGCCTCAAGATGCGTGTTGCTTGGCTTCCTTTGGGCTTCCCGTTGAAACAGTCCCAAACGGGGGAGACTGAAACTTGTTCATTGTCGTCTAACCGACCGTACACTGTGTCCAATCTCTCGCCCCGAGGTGAGTACCCTGGTAAATATTACGTCGTTGGTCCTACCCTTGACGCACCCGTTACATACCCTTTATGCACACACCCTTTACCGTTTATGTACCCTTGCTTACCCTTCAAGTTCACTTTCTGTGTGGTGACCTATGGCATGTATCATCTAGCTGCAAATTTGCCTATAATTCCAACAACTTAATGTATATAGTTGTATTTTTAGGCAAGGGACCTTTGTCATGGCTCCCCGGATCTCTGTCCGCGGACTACACGCGCACGCGGCCAGGGTCCAGGCTCTGGTTGGGCGAGAGCTCGCCTTTGCGCCAGGTGCAGGTTCCCAGCGCGAAGACCAAAATCCCCAGCCTGGGCATTCGATCGACGCGCTTCTTTCCGCCGAAGACAGTGGGTTGCAACATGGGTGGGTGTGTGAAAACAGGGGGGACCCACTAAGAAGGTGGTGTCCCTTTAAACCCTACCCCAACAAAGATGAGAAACAAGTACCCTCAAAAAGATGCAGCTACAAAGTTTGATTAAGTCAAGTACTTGACCCAGTGGGGTCTTGGGCAACATTTGCCCCGGCCGTCTTAAACAGGAAACACTCATGGTTCAAACAAGGGATCCGGCAGCCCAACCCTTCCCAACATGTTTTGAGGGATGTTGAAAGAGACACCACGAGGAAGGCGCCAATCCTTGCAGTTTGCCGAGGGAAACACCTGAGTGGTGCCAGGGTGCCAACTAGCATGGTTAACCAGTAGGTGACTCGAGTTCTTCACAGGGGGGGAATCCCTAATCCAAAAACGGAGGGGCACCACTACCAAAAAAAATAGCATCTGGCATCCTTCAACATGGGTGCTAAACGAACGAGCAAACCTGATAATGGCCAACCCTCGCTAGAACTGTGCGTGGTTGGAACAAGGGCAACTGGGGTTGGTCTCCTTGCAGCCATGGCAACAACGTACGTACTAGGTGGCCTGAATACCCCCGAGGGGGATTGCTGCAGTCGACATGGCTTGGTTCCGGTGATGGCCACACGTTTCACAAGGCCCACCCCACTTCAAGTAGGCAACTGTCCGAAACCAAACCCTTCAGGGGAGTTAAAGGCCGGCCTTAGGTATCAGGTGCCTGTTTCTTTGTTTTTCTTTTTTCATGCAAGCTATAACCATCAATGTAAAAATAGCCACCGATTCCCGTGGAACCTGCCCTGGGGGGGGTCCTGGAAGACTACTCTCCTTTTACTGGGACCAAATTCCTGTTGGATTCGTCATCCCCTCGGAATTGTGCCGTGGACTGCCAGGTGTAGCAGGGTTTGCGCGTTACACCACCCAGATGCGAAACTTGTCCAAAAGCCACTGGGAAACGTGGGAGCCCAGTGTCTTCCAACCCCCAACCTGGATGGTTGCGAAATCCATTTCGCTCCCAGGAAACCATGGTTGAAACCATAACGTCTGTTGGTGTTTACGTTGGGGTATCAATTCATTCCGTTAGGTTTCTGAACGAACTCCTGCAACCTAAGAAACCATGAATAATCATGGTTTGTTGGCATTCACGTTGGGGTATAATATGCTTCCGTTGGGTTTCTTGGGTGGGGGCCAGAAAAGTATCCTACCTTTTTGTTTGCCACCAACCTGCTCCAAACCCAAAAAGTCACTCAAGTCCACAACGGAACTCGGGAAGTGCGTGGATTCAGACCGCAGTAGATGACAGTACATATTGGCCGCTGGCCCGGGTGGGGCGCCATAAATCCTGGGTTTCTGCTTTCGGTGGTGCGAGATTTCTGGATCTCGTTCGACCGAATCGCCCGGTTCGACCGCCTGGCCCAGGCAGAGCTGGTGGCATGGGTCAGGGCCACGGAGCCCACGCAGTAGACCGCCGCCAGCAAAGCCCTGAGTTCATTGGTCTCGGGGCCGGGGGAGGGTGGGGGGCCTTCTTCCTCCTGGTCTGTTGCGGGTGATGTAGTGGTCTTTTCATTGTGAGGAGCTTGAGCCAAAGTCTGTTTCTCATACAGTACTTCATTTAGTGGCAGTGGGCCTACTTGATCCTACTTGCGTCTAGTAATTCTGCTTTTGTGTTGACTCCGTCCGTTTTGGAAGCCAACGGTTGGCGTCTTTTTTTCCATGAGAGGGAGCCAAACAGGGAATGGGAAAGCCACAGGGAAACCAACAATGTTTCACGTTTCCTACCTCAATGTTGAATTTCTCCGAAAGCTTGCTTGGCGGCACTTGGGATGGGTCCCTCTTTGAGAATACCATGGCAAACAGAGTTTTTTTTACAACGGCAAAAGGGAGGCTCACTTTGTCTAAAATGAGCCTGGCAACTTTTCAGCTGACCCGACTGCCACCACTCGCCTTTGGGGAGGTCACCGGCCCACTCTGAGAAAAATGCACTTGGTGGCTTCATATGCGGCATGAAGCACAAAACGCGGCTCGAATCTTGTCTCCAGAGGTACGTATGAAGGTTCCTTACACGGGTATCAGCACTGCTCATCGCAAAGGTGGCAAAAAGGGCGTCACTGGACCCGGGCTGGGCCTGGGTAACCAACGAATGAAACGGATGAGGGATGCAATGCCCGTATAGCAAAGAACATTCTTCCCACGCCTTCCTGCTCCCTGCTCCAACGCTCCGTCTTCTGAAGGGCAAGCTGATTCTGCTAAAGGTATGCCCAGCAAAAGCATGCAGAGCGCAAACTGATCTGCAAGCACGCATGGGAAATCACTCACATTCTGATGCATCAGGGTGTGCAATCAACAAGCCAGGCTGCTTTGCTAATGCAAGGTAGCGAGGGAATGTAACACGGGGTACGTAACGAGCTAGCGGGAATGCAACTGGATATTGTCGCGGCTGTGTAACAGACGCCGCAACAAAAACGCATTCTCATATGGACCGAAACACGTGCTCCAAGCCAAACTGTTGACTTCAACCAATATTTGCAGGTTTCAATGCAAGCATCATGTTCAGAAGACAATACCTCCTCAACAAAAACACAACAAACAAAAAAAGAGGAACAAAAAACAACAAAACACAATGCCTCCTGATTGAAGGCAGCCCAACAAAACTGATTTGTAAGGTCGCTCCAGTGCCCTGAGCCACGGCACTCCATCCGGGGAATTACTTGCGGGCTCCACCCGCTGAGCCGAGCGGCAGAAGAAGAAGCAAGGCCAAGGGCTGGTACTGGAAGCGATGGTCAAGGAACATGTAGTGGAAAATGCCCGTCCTAAAGCTGCAAGAGCCCAACTTGCCATTGCGAAAACTGACCACTTCATACCACTTGTACGAGTATGCCGCACATGCCTCTGTTCAAGTACCTGAATATGGGGCATACGCTCCAAAACCCAAGCCCATCTTCTCCGGGCCCATGGGCCCTTGAGCAATGGCCTGTCCTTAAGGCCGACCACGGCTTTCCTACCACAGCCCAGCAAAGGGGGGCCCCCACCGCATGGAGCTCAATCTTGATCCTCGGGGCGCTGTAGCCCCCCAAACGTGACTCGGGTCCCGTTGATTTACGTCTCGCTTGGACGACTCCTTGGGTCCTTTGCTTGGGTGCGGATGGCACCCGTTTCAAACACGAAACTGGAGGCTGCCAGGTTGCTGCATGAAGAAGTACCTTGGCAGCGCGTGCAGGGCATGAAGTGCGGGAAGAAATGGACCGCTTCTCGTTTGCAAAAACAAGAATCAACGAGTTCATCAAAGGGAAGCGCGCAAGGAGGAATTGAAAAGTCCAGACACTTTCCTCGGCCCGGCCATGCGCAGCAAGGCATTCTCTTGTGGTTGGTTGAAAGGAACAGGTCCCTTCCCCCAGCGCGTTTCATCCCAGGACTCTTGCCGCAAATCCGTCGACCTAGCGCTGTGCCGGGTGATCGCTACGTACCACCTGAATGCGGCCTTCAAGAAGCGAGGCTGGGGGCAAAAATGGCTTCAAATCACAAAAACAAAAACATCTTCTCAGTTCCTGAGTAATTAGGTTGGCCAAAAAATGTCTGAACTTTTTTTTTCCCAGTAAAAAGGTCTTCCCAAAAAGTCTCAAGTCCAGAAACTCGGGAAGTAAGTCTTGCTCTTTTGATGCAGGATGTAACTAGCTGATCTTTGAAGGCAAACTCGCCATCCCCTCTGGCATGCTTGCCGGTGCCATGGCCAGCAAATATATCCTGAAACCTCTTAGCAGCCTGACATCCCTTGACTTTCAGGATCTGGACCAGAAAAGGGCGTCCAAAAGAACAACACATACAAGAATGGACCTTTGCAAGCACGACTTGAAATGCCTTTCCCGATTTAGAACGTACCCGATTCCGGGACCCGAAAGGGACAAAGTCACCAGCTACTCCAAGGTCACTCGCGCAGTATTCTTAGTGTTCTTGATTTTTGGTCAGCAAAAAGGCTCCAGTTTCTGACTTGGATTCGAGGGCAACATATCTTGAAGGGCGGGGGAAATGAAGGGAAGGTCGGGGCTCTGCATGCCGTGTTGCCAAGCCAAGGTTGACTCACTCTGGCTGGGCGAGGGTCCCGGCAAGAGAAACCACAGGAACCGCAGGAATCAACAGAAAACCAACAGGAGCCGCAGGAAAAAAAAACAAAAAAAAAAAAAAAAACAAGCAACCAGTTCCGCTCTGGCCCTTTTGTCGGCCAAATCAAAGGCCCTGTCGAAGATACCCAGCGCATTGCTGCAAAAACGGGGGTCGGAACTGCTGCCGCGTTTCCGACAGGCAGGATTCTGGCCAGGGACGGCGCGCCAAAGAAGCGAGCTTCTTGCTCTACCGAAGATGCCGGCTAGAAACGCCAGACTTTTGCGGATCATGTACGCCCTTCAGCCCTTTGCATGAAAGCCGAAGAAGAAGCCTCCAGCCAAGCCTGGCAAACACATCTCTTGCCGTCCCAAGCGAGTCCTGGCGATTTGGAGCCTGGCTTTGGCTCCGATGATTTTCATTGGCTACGGCTTGGATCTGGGATGTGCCCCGAAAGATGAGTCGCAGACCCCCGGTTGTTGACGGTAAGTACATGTGGATTTGTGTCTCCCGAAAAGGGACCTGTCTTTGGTGCTCGAACTTGCTTCCTGAGTGGATTGGTCAGTTTGTGTCTGCCACGGAAATGGTCGTGGAGCGAGTGGGAATCCACTTTTTGTATCACTTGGGACTGGCCCAAGCTGGGTGGTTGGCGGCTCTAGGGGCCATCCGCAGATCCAGGTGAAAAGTGGAAGATCTGCGCAAAAGCAATGCGAACTGCTCAATTTTGAAAGAATAGGCACCCAAAATGGAACCCTGCTAAATGCGGTCGCCTGCTGGATATTGCTGGATACCCATTTTGGGGGGTGTCTTAAAATAGGGAAGAATGGCAGCCTGGTAATGGAACCAAGGGCTAATCTAAAACCTGTGGTCCCCTGGTGCTTTCATTTCGACTCACAATTTGGCACCTCAAGATAGGGAACCACCCCAAATGATGGCTGTCCCTGTTGATTTCCCAAAAACACCAACGCCGAAAGGGTACGTTACCCAGTTCTGAACCATATGCCAGGCTGAGACTTCCGCAGCCCTTCAAAAGGGGTTAGGTGTCCTTTAGTTCGGTTGAACCCGCCTGAAAGACGAATCCGTAAAACCTGGAAGGCACCGTATTTTCCGGGCAAATCTGACATGCCTCTTGAACCCACCCTGCAAAACTGAAGGTTTGTGTAGCCTGACCCGAACAAAAACCAGTTAGAGCCTAAGGCCAAAAGTTACATCGATTTTGGGCAATCGCCGGACTTGGAAGCTCTAAGCAACGGGGGAGGGGGGGGACCTGCCATATCGGGGGATGCCATTCAAACCACAAAAGGCCACCCTCCAAAAAAAACCACCAAATCGAGGGAGCCCCCGAAACACCTTTGATCGTCCAGGCTCGAAAAGCAAACCCTACGCCACCAGCGACCCAACTACGGGTCGATTTTGCGAACTGAAGCCCAAAGTGTGACATGTAAGGCGCGAAGTATAAAAACTGCTGGTTTACCCTGGATCAGTTAAATCGCTTCTCATAAAATAGACCGACGCCAGGTGAAATGCCAGCCACTGATCGATTCGCATCTGCGCACATCTTCAAACGGACCTATGCTTTGGCTGGCTGATGCCCAGCAAAGTGCTCCACACCCTGTCAAAGTTGGGTCTGCCTCCGAGGGGTACCTCCCTTAGGGAAACCAAGAGAAAGGCACCACTGGGCAAGGTTGGCAAATTATTACTCCCCTCGTGGTTTCCTTCCGGGAACCCGCCTTTCCTGAGTGGAGTAGCCAAAAAAGTTTGAACTTCTCTTATACCACTAAAATGGCCTGCGCAAAAAGCGTGAAGTCCGGAAACTCAGGGGGTGAGGAAATCAACAAATATAGGCTATTTAGCACCCAGCACCCGCTTTGAAGGACTTCCTGGATGGGATCTGGAGCTTTGCTGAGGCCGAGCCAAGCAAAGTGCCAAGCCCTGCCAGCTCGATGACGTTCAGGCGTACCCCACCGACTTGTGGCGACAGCGGCCAAAAGAAAGGGCGTAGTTCTTTGTTTTGAGATTACCTTTCTTAGGTTGCTTCGAAGGGAAACCAAACGGAAAGCCAAAGGAAAGCCGCCAGTATGGGGTATGGCGAGACATGCCTGTCGACTTGAGCGTTCAAGTACGTGCTGCTTTTGAACTGTAGATGCAATTGCGTTGGTACGTTGGACACGGTTCTACACGCATGCAAATTGGTCCCTAAGGGTCCACATTCAGATCTAAGGACCCTGGCCATTCCCCACAAGCAGGGTCTCTATATTATATATATATATATAGATGAATGTGTATGTTTGTCTTTGAGGGTACCCTTTTAGGGTTGGGTTTACAGGGGTACCCAAGGGAAATTCAACCTTTTGAGCGGTCCCCTATTTTCACCAGACGCACCAAAGGCGCAGCATCATAGGGAACTCACTCACAATGGCAATCCAACCAGTATCAACCAGTGGTGCTTCAACAATCCCGAAAGGAGCAACATACACAGCTGAACAAGTTGGCTCTCTAGCGAAGGAAAATCATCATGTTAAATCAAGTTGAGCCAAGTGAGAGGTCAAAGATCCACAATTTGGAGAATAAACAATAAAACAAATCAGCACTCCCCCATAAACTCGCATCCGAAGAAGGGTTGTGCATCCCCGGAAAGAGCAGACTGATCCTAATATTGAAGGGCTTTTTCCAGGCCCAAAGTGTCCTCTCTGCTCATTGAGGGAAACATCAAAGGTCCTCCGGAAACACAAATGCCGGAGGTCGCCATGGAACGAATCGAGGGTTGGCTCTAGCGCGAGGGATGAGGGCTCCTTGGGAATGTGACCGTGCACTATGGCTAGTGTTCGCCCTGCATGAATCAACTTGGTGGATTTTTGGGGGCCGTCGGCCCCAAAAGTGAAAACCTCCCTCTACAATGCAGCACCTCCTTGCACTCAACCAAGTGTTTGTTAATCCTACACTGCTGCAAAATGAACATGAACATCCCAAGACAAGGTTCACTCCAAAGGACTTCTGGCTCTGCTCAAGGTGGGTTTTTGTCTAAATTATGTAGTGGAGAGGATAGAATAAGGGTACCCATTTTCTGTAGTCTACTTTAGTAGGGGAACCCTCCGCCAAAAAAGGGTAAAAGAGCACTAGACTATTGGGGGACCTAGTTGTGTTCCATGTTGCCTTGCCTGAGAGCAAGTTGTTCCTTCATGAGGAGCGTAGAATGTTCTGCCCATCCCGTCGCAATCGTGGCATTCATTTTGCACATGACTTTGGCAATCTAGATCCTAGATGAAACACCTGAGGCTGCCGGCGGCATCTTTGCATGTATCCTTTGCGTACGCATGAATGAAAAGTCATGTCAACACAAATTGAAGGCAACACTCGGGCCAAGCAGCGCCATATTGTGCTGCGTTCTTGTGGGCAGGCCCTGTGACTTTCATGACTAAGCCGGAAAGAAAATTATAGCAGAATGCCAGCGTGAACAAGTCACCTTTCTTTTGTGCGGCAGCCAGTCGACGAAATTGACTTTGAATGAGAACCTTGGATCAACATATCGAGTCAGCCCGATATCTGAGCATGCAGGAACGCCCTCCGCCTAAGGGCGATGTTTGCAGGAGGTACAAGGAATGCAGGCCTCATGCTTGTTTTCTTGGGAGGTTTGGTCTTAAGATGCAGCTGACACCCTCCTTCAGTGCAAGATTGATTGTCTCGGTGCACAGAACCGGCACCTGCACTGAACCCCGTGGTGTCTGAAGGCCACCCCAGCGCTTGCCTCGGCTATGGTCTGTTCCAAGTGAAGTGAAAGCAAAGACTGTGGAGCAAGCTTTCATTCGGCACCCTTTCTTTCATCTACACTTGGGACAGATGTCCAACCATGTAAGGACGACCATCACTCAATTTCCATCTTGGTAAGTGAGAAATGCTGGCGACGCTCAAACCCTCCCCCCCCCCGTCAAACGGCAGTTCAATATATCATGGTACTCCAGTGCGAACTGGCATGAACCCTGAAAGGGGGGCTTCCAAACCTCTTAAAAGGGCTTGCAGGGTTGCGTGTCAATTTGGTCTGGTCGTCCATGAATAACCCGAGCCAGAACCACAAAGCCAGACCTCACATGTTCCACCCTCCAACCCT